AGTTAAGGTGACGTTGAAATCTAGAAACCTAGAAAGAGTACGTACCTTATAAGATGTGCCCCTTAATGCCATTTAAGTTTCATGTCTTAAAATTTCCATAAAGTGTACCGTTAAGTCATTATTCAAGGTGATCAAGTTAGCTGAGACACCCTGTATATTATGCATTGCAGCAATCTCGATGGATTTGTTCCAGCCGCCAAGGGCACCGATATTAAATTAAAGGAAAAAGAGAAATAACCGGGTGTTCCGTCGCGTATGCGTTCTCCAATCGGGTAACACAGCCGGCATTTATTAGACGATTTGCAAAAGGCCGGAGTAGAGATGTTCGAATTCAAATTTCTATTCGTCAAAAAATCGATCTTTCGAAAATATTCTCTTTGTTCAATTTTTCTGAAAATCGATTTTTCTTTCTTCAATTTTGTTCAAAACATATTAGAAAGCACGAAAAAAAAATTATCAATAATTTCTTACTATTTCTTAACAAAAACAAGCTCATCAGGTCACAACAGTAAATCCTCGATGAGAGTTCGAAGACTCTTTGGCACTAACAAGGTGGGGTCCCCAAGTATAACGCTGACTTTTTAATCAGGTTTAGTACAGCGATAAGGCTTAGAATTTTAAATCCAATGGGATCTGTTTCAGCCGCATATGACCATTAGTTTATGAAATATTTAATGTTCAGTACCAAGGAGCCTTCGAACACTCATCGAGGATTTACTATGGTCTGTCCGTAATTGAGTCACTTATCTGTCAGTAATTGGGTCACTTACTCTACTTACAAACCACACTTGTAAATATTGCTGTTCTCGAAACGTATTCCCGTAAGACTCAATGGCGTCACGATACAATCAACACACCTTTAACGGTCTCCAATTTTCGTGTCCGGAAGAAAAGAACAGGAGACACACAGGTTATCTATATGTATACATTATATATCCCCAACGACACGTTCTATACGTCAGGGTTACGGTATATCGCAAGGCTTGCACGGTTTACTAATGTTATTCGCGATTGTCGAAAGCAAACGGGTATAGAAAATCGATCCACGAAGGTGTCTTAATCGGTCCCCGTGAACATTTCCACAAGACATACAAACTTTTTTTTACAACTTTTCTACATTTACTGCAAAACCAATACAAAAATTAAATGATCCATTTATTCCTACTATCTGACCTAAACTTCCCTCCATAAGGGAGGTATGGGCCAAATAACTAGTTTTAGAACTATTATATTTTTAAAGATTATTTCGAATAATAAAATGAAATCATAATGGAACATCGATGGTAAGACCTTACAGATTATAATTCTTCAGATTTAAAGCGTGTTTCTCTTTCATTTTAATCACTACTACAAATTAATTGAAAAGTGACTCAAACCTACCCACTCTCCCCTACTCCTTTTAATCCCCCCCCCCCAATACACGCAATTTAAATCGCACGCGATACACAGACCGTAATTTATATTTTCACGCTGTAATCAAGCCGTAACGACAGCTGTTGCTCTCCTGGGATCCCGATCTCGCTTCCGAGGTGAAACCAATGTGATGGGTGTCCACGGGTCATGATTGATTTATTTCCCATGAAAATGACAACGATATGTGTTCAGCTGTTACGAGAAAGCCGCTCGAAGGAGTCCACAAGTATAAATCTGCGACTGATCGGAATCACGTGAGAACGGAAAACGGTGTCCTTTTATCGAATCGTAACTTTCTTTTTTTTTTTTTTTTTTGTTTCTCGAAGCAGGATTCGGTCGAATACAGCGAGATAAGGAGGACCCAATCTTGAATAATTCCAATTTATCGCGGATGGTCGATGTTCGGACGAATCGTCGGTTCGTTGGAACCCCGCCCGCGAAAGTAATCATCGTTGCGAAATCGAGGACAAGAGAAGAAAGATATATTCAAAAAAGAAAAACGGTGTAATACTGGCAACGTACACGGTTTTCAGCGATTCTGCACGGAAAGGTCGTTCAACCCTACAAGTATGACCATTATCGTTTATTCGAAATGACGCTCAATAAATCGAAAATATTACGTTGTGTCTGTATACAGTAAGTACCGTTCGAAAGTATTCAAACGCCTGGACTGTTCTTTTTTCTTTGTTTTTTTTTTTAAACGGAGTGAACTTTCTATTCATTATACCACGAGTCGTTTCTTTATTCCTGATGCTATTTCACACACTGTTCTCTTCGATATTTTTAGTTTACTTGCAATATCACCGATCGAATAACCTTCACCACGATGAACATAAAGTAAGAGTGCCTATATTGGAGTGAATTTTGGTTAGAATTTCAGGTTCTCATTAAATATAAATTAATGAAAGCATTTAAGTTAACAATTGTTATATAATTTTCAATAATTAGAAATTTAGTTGAAAATTTAACAGAACGTTCTTAAAAGCTTTAACTTTCGATTACTACCAAAAAAATTGCAAGACCAACGATAAAATTATCGAAAAAAAAAACGTTATAAAAATGTCTCTTTAACACGAGCCTTATGCAACTGTAGCTGATACTGAGAAGTTAATCAATTCTTATTTAGTTACAAAAAATGACATTTTTACAAAAAATTAGGTGGTGATAGATTTTTTTACGGAGATTATGATGGCACGGAAAAAAAATATGTTAACGATCAAATAAAACTAAAAATTAAGGTCAAAGTATGCAAACTTAGGTTTCAATGCGTTTGGTAGTATCTCCTATGAATGTCTGCTATGAGCGTCAACGCCGCTTGTTTTGTTTTGATTTGTTCGACGAACTTTCCAATTTTTCCTTACAACTTAAAAAAAATTAAATTCTTTTTACAATAAGGACATTTTTTTGTTTTTTTTTTTACATATTTCTTCATTTTCTTCCATTTTAATACTTTGAAGTAGTTTAAAATATTAATCATCCAGATAAAATTGGTAAAATAAAAAGTATAAAGCGCCATATGGAGCCCTAGCTAGATACGACACCAAACGCGTGAGCTACCTTAAATCAGAGTAAACGATTTACAAAAAGGACAGTGCAACGTCCTCGTCGAACCGCGATAATTTCAGGACCGAATATATTAATCGAACCACGATATCACGCCCAATAACCCAATTTCTGTGTTGCTCGTGGTGTCCTCTACGACCGTCCCGAAATTTAAAGCGTTACCCCACGAAACCCGCGGGGGGAATCCCGTCGCGAACGCTGCTCTGCGCCGGCGAACAGGTTATTTAATTCAGATTCGTTAATGAACTGTTCGTAACGCGGCTGAAAGTGATTTTCAAGGACCGATCGAGCGGCAGGAGATATTGTGTCAATTTGTGCCTCGATTAAAATCCGACCGTGAGAAAGAAAAAACGAAGAAACGAATGAAGTACGGATCCAAATAAAGGGACCAGCGGTTCTCTTTTCTCTCGGTAAAGTAGGTACACATGGTCTGACCGGCGGAGATGGAAGATAACGTTAATTGAAATGATTCTCGATTTTCCTCGTATAAATTCGATCGTATTCGTCCCAATCGTCCTCGTCGGTGGAGGATTAACTTTCACGGTTCAATAGCGACGTGTCTCACTTTCGAGATAAATAACGCGTTCCACCACCACGCCGTTACGCCATTAGCATGAGCACCTATCCGGGAATAAAGACTGAATCTTCGAAATTTTCATAATTTTTTTTTTCTCTCCACCGCAACGGTGAAAAACTTGAATCGATTTATTAAGACCCATCGGGACACGAACGATGGAATCGTGGTATCACGTCGGAGATAACGCGAGATTCCGTTTAAAAGCGTCATCGTGTGTAAACCGTGGATCAAAAATGGAACATCACGATGGTTTTAGTTTGAAAGACGAAGCTGCGTCGTGTTTCAACCGCGATAGACACGATATTGACGACGAACGTTTGTCGGAGTCCTCTTTCTGCATCCTATGCCAGCGATTCTGGTGCTGAACAAATATATTATTCGTGGAAAAAAATATTAATAAAACAACCCCGTGAACATATTATTTCAGGCGTTCACGCATTACCCGTTAATTCAAACGAAAACCAAACATAAGTATATCGTCTTCACCGTGGGTCCTATCAAGGTTCAAGAACGATACAAAACCTGTTCGAACGATAAACGCACAGAATCCAGTCACGATTTTCTATCCTACGTTGCTATTTACATCCACCATGTTGGTACCGGCGATTCGATCATAAATCATACGCGTATAAGATTTACCTAGCCGTGGCTCACAGTGACTCGGTCTCGTTTGAAAGGTAGCAGACACATTGTGTTACGGGTTCGACGATTCCAAATAAATTCCAATAAACCAAGAATACCCATCGAGATTTTCCTTTCGATAATTCTCTATTACCAGGCTGGGCAATAATTCCATCGAAATCTGACCAGGATTTCCGTGAACAGCATTCGCAAATTAAATAGCTTTCACGGTAAGAAAGGAGGAGGGGGGAGTGGGTATTGTAGTCAGTTCACGGGAAATTAACCGAAAAACTCGACTATACACATTAATATCAGAAACTGGTAGGGCGGAAACATTGAGGAAAGATAAGCCGAGGGACAACACAGTGGTACCTGGAGATATAGACAGGTAGAACGCGAAACCGTGCCAAGGAATCCGTCGTTTCTTCCGCGGTAAACAGCACACCACCGCGAATCGTCTAACCAGAACGGAATCGATTAAAGCGAGCACACATCACGCTATCGCGGTGCTACCGATATAACACCGTAAGACCTGCAGAGAAAAGGTAGCTCGGCATCGTGACCCAACGAACTTACGATGACAGCTGAACACTTAACGCGGTGTGTCTGAAACTTTCCGCAGAAGTCGATCGAGCCATCGAGAATGCATTGCTTGATCTTTTCATCGACCAATCCCCTCTCGAACAAGGGGTCGCTATTCCGAAACATAGACGGGTGTACGATACCCGTTTGACAGATGGACAAGCCCTGATCGAAACTAGGTAGCATTCTCCGGGCGAATACACAAAGAATCGCAGGGACGAAAGTAAGAAGTACATGTACTCACACTTCGAGGATACGATCGCCTTTACGTACGCCGGCTTTCTCGGCTGCACCTCGGGGTAACACAGCGCTGACATGCTGAAGCGGCGCGTACAGTTCCCCGTTGATGCTTCTCAGTTGTCCACCCTCGCTGACCTGGCCGCGTACGTTGAACCCGAAGCCAGTCTCGGTTTTGTAAATGGTCACGCATCTCGGCCCCTGACCGATCGGATTCACCTGGCCCACCGGGTGCTGGGGCACGCGTCCGTTGTTGATCATCGTCACGCTGCCCGTCCTCGTTACGTCCTCGTCCGCCGCGGCTGGCAACCGCTGCTGCTGCTGCTCCTCCGACTCGCAGTCCGCCATCTTACACTCTGACCGCCCATTGATGTTCCGATCGTACGCGGATCCGCCGCGAGACTGCGCCTGTGTCGGAGCCGCTCTCGCTCTCCTCCCGACTTCCCCCACTCCTCGTACGCCGCGGACCAGGTGTAGCTTGGCAGGATAGACTCGAAACCCTAGGGGAATTCATCTGACCTCCTCTGAAAGATCGATCGTATCACTACAGAATTATCAATCCTTGGAATTCACGTGCACGTCCATTGATTATAGAGGAAATAATTGGAAACGAAACATATTCTGCCGACAATTTTGTGTTATACCGAACACGGTGGTACGACTGTATTGCACGCGGTACGCATGCGCCGACGTTGCCGACACTGATCGCGGGAACGTGTAAATTTGAAATGTTCGGTCGCGTCTTTTCGAGCCTTGTGCGGGCAACCACAAATGTTCACGGTTATTGAGCAATCGGAGTACCCCAAGCATACTATTCTGACAGATTACATGAGCATAGATAATTTTACTTTCATACTATTCCGAAACTCTTAGTTTTTCCTTTCTATAATATATCACAGAGTTGGGCAAAATGTAATCCAATTACAAAATCTAAATTCCAATTACATTGTAAGTTTTATTTTAAATTTAGTGTAGTTAATTACAATGTAATTGTAATTAGATTACATTTTGCCCAACTCTGATATATCAAAAGGCTGTTTTAGACAAGAACATACACAATTGCGAAAAGAAATATAAAAATGGGTACATGGGACCCGGTTGCCCACACAAGACTCAATACTGTTACATGCACGTTGCTGTGGTGTTTATTTTTAGGGGTATATTGGTGTGAATAAGAACGAAGGGATTAATGCCATTTATATCTGCAATATATTAAATAATTATTAGATACATTTATGTGCGATAGTCGTTTCGAAGTCATGTCACTCGTATGTACAGTTATTTTTCCTCCTTAATTTAAATCTCTGTTCTCCGCAACGTATCGGTACGCTTCGATTTTCGTCCGACTCGTGAAACCAATGAATCAAACGACAAGGATCGCGTGTACTCGATTTACGCGTTTGAAATATCTTTTTACCCTTTTTGATATCGTACTCTCTTCTTACGGGTTCTCGTTTTCCATTTCACGTCTACCGTTTTCTGTGAAATTCGCGAATTGGTACTCCCACGAAATTAGTGACAACGCGTCAACGAAACTTCCGTAACGAAGCTCGGTCGAAAGGGTTTTTGGGGTACACGTTAGTTATCCGAATCCCTTAAAAAAGAAAATACAAAGAATTAAAACTTTGGTACCTGCTCCAGTGATCTCATTTCCGTTTTTCCGTTTCTCCCTAATCGATCACGCACTTTTCTCCGCCTACCGTTTTTCACGCCAGAGGATAATTACGAGATAGACACACACAAGTTTGCTATAAAATCACACCTTACATTCACGCTTAATTAGGGGACAAAGGTGACGAAAACATCGAATCGGGACTTATCCCTTTCGCTTCAAAGAAACTGGAACAGCGACGTCAACCTCCGTATTCGAATCACGCTCGCGGAGGCTCGAAACAAAGACGAAGATTTCGAGCGGAAGTTTTCATTTTACACTAGAGGAACAGAAGTGGGACTTAGATCAACCGGACGTGAATCTCGGCCCCATTATCGGGAGCTGCGACAACAATTACCTACAGGAATCGATTTCATTTTTCATATCATCGAAGCCATTGTAGGTCAAGAATTAATTCAAAGACGCTAAAATTTTTCAGGACTGGAATCGTTCTTACTGTAATTACTCCCTCTTAGAGCTCAACGGGGAGATTCTCGTGCAACAGGTTCAGAAAAATAAAAAATTTGGATGTGGTATTCCAAAAAACAATGCCTTTAACTTTTCTGTCAGAAAATGTAAATTTAAAAAATAACTTTTTCGTCTAAACGTTATAACTATCTTAATTTGTCATATTTTTCTTCCAATATAGGCATAATCCCAGCGTAAACTATTTAACTTTAAGAAAATTTCTTAGCTTTTGCATTCTGATGACTGTGACAGTGGTTATATGGTCGAAGAGGATTAGAAGTCAGGCATCAATGTCCAATAAATCATAAGAATTAAAACATTTTTTTTATCATTTATCAATAATTTTGTCGAAAAAAATTTCGAAAAAATCACTTGCTTTTAGAACTGTTACACGAGAATTCCCCTTTGACCCCTTGCTTTACACCATCGAGTCAGACAAGTGACAACGATTTCAAACTGAATTTAAATATTACTTTCTTTGAGTCGACGTGAAATACTCTTTCGCTGGTATTAACATTTAAGGTTCAGAATAAATATAACACTTGTCATAAGAATAGAATTCCTTTTGTATCTGGGAAACTATTAATAGTTAATATATAGGAAGTACTTCTTGTGAGTGAAGTCGTAAAAAAAAAATCGTTGTGTAAGGGATTGACGAATACTTCTACATTCTCATCTTCCTTCGCTTTTCTACCTTTGAGGTTGTCACTGTTAGAAAATGAACTTCGCGGAATACGGAGGTTGAATAGTGAACCTTGTAATCTGACGACAATATGTGCGTTATATATACATCATAATGAATACTTTAAAAGTTTTTAATAAATATCGTATTGATAATATAAAAGGGCACTGTGAACTAATTACAAACATTAGAGGCGTAATAATAATAATAATAATAATAATAATAATTATAATAATGTAATAGTAATAATAAACGTGATTGTACCGAATAACATGCCCTTCGTTAAGGTAACCCAAGAATAGGAGGAACGTGCATACATCGAAAATTGTTCGAACTTATACAAGTCTGACTAAGCATTTAGTACAACAGCGCGTCTCGTTATATAAAATTCGAAGATATCTCTCTAACAAACAGTGTTCACTGTCGACGCGACAACGCGTCGTCGACACACGTGAAACGCTAATAATTTTGCGCGTAATATACACATACACTGTACAGAAAAATACACGCATTCCGGGGGTTCTGGGCGAGAAAACCTATGTATACATTTCCCGGCGAGAGTGCTGTCGTCGCGACGAGTTCATTATTAATTTTCCGCGCCGTGAAACCGTCGTTTACGGCGTAAATCGAAAACACGATGCGATCGCACTGTTTTCGTCCTCGTAACAACGATCCAGCATCGCGGCGATTCACCTTGCGACTATTTCCACGTTTACATTTAACGAACAAATGGATTAGACATTTGGATGGGTAAAAATCGGCACAGGTTTTTGGACACGGGCTCGCTCGTTCCCCGTGGACATCGAAATATTCAGGGTACACTCGAATCCCACGGTTAAATACTTTACAGTGAATCCCCTCAGCAAACGCCTGTTTCACAACGAAACTCTGCGTTCGTGGCGCTAAAAGTGATCAGGTCGGCGCACACGGAACGTATCATTTCTGGTTAATATTTTTATACTTTGAGAAAGTATAAAATTGTTCGGTACTTGTTCCTACTTACGGTAAGCACGAATAGTAGATTATTATTTGTATTATTATAGTATAGAATTCATTAACGCGCAGAACGAACATTCCGTGCGCACCAACTGAACCGCACAGGGGGTGTTTCTATTACTCGTTTCCTAGGGTCGATCGATTAAACGAAATTCACGTCGAAGGATTTTTAAAAGCGTTTCCCCGCTTAACAGAAACAAAAAGAAAAAAAAAAAAAACAGTGCGACCGAATACGTGCACGTGACCGGCGTGCGCGTTCCTCCGAAATGTACACGCACGTTTCTGATCGATCCGTAAAGCTTACGCGTATCCGTTTACAAAAAAAAAAAAAAAAGCTGCCGAGAGATTGAGAACGTACAGAACCCTGGAAAAAGCCTTAAATTCGAAATCACAATCGCGTCTCGTATTCTCTCGTGTTACATTTAAGAAGGCTTATCATGGAAAAAAAAAAAAAAAAGAAAAACTTGAAAAAACCTTTCCTATCGCACGTTCGATATCACGAGGTGTGAACTTGTAAGTCAATAATGATCTTCATCGATTTATCCGTTTGAACGTGTGAACACCGCCGAATCTCCAATTTCGAATTTACATTACGTAAATGCTGATCTTTCTTTAATGTATCTATAGTACGATGATCCCTGATTAGCAATCCTCCTCACATTCGCGAAATTATTATTTTTCTCTCGGCCAATTTCTCAGTTTGCGCGCTCGTGCTTCCTTCAATGGTCTGGGATGGTTGTAGGCGATAATCTTTGGTTACCGAAAAAGTGTCTATTAATACGATCGCGTTTTGGTTATTATTAACTCTCTCTTTCTCTCTCTGCACGACCGGAAATCGTGCCTCGTAACACGTTTATTAATAATAATAATATTTCGTAGATCTCAGAAACATCCGACTATTCCATTGGACACCGATAAATGAACGCGTTTTCTTCTTTTTATATACCTTCACTCTCGTAACATTTATATTATTATCTCTCTTGATACTCATTTAAAAGGTTTCGTTAGATTTTAGGTCTTTCTTCTTGAAAGAGGCTCACCAGTTTTAACCCTCTCATATAAAGATTCTACAACAATGTAAACTCGCGCGACTTTGTACTCGACGCGATTCAAGTGTCGCGCAAGACACCCCGGAAACCGAGAGATCGTCATCCAACGTGAACTCTCTCCAGTAATCATTTGTCATTCGAGCACAAACGAAATCTAGAGTATACACGGGTTGCTTGGAATTGGACGAGAACTTTAATACAACCGGCCGATGAAAATGCAACGGCTCTAGGCCGCTGTTAATCGCGAATGCCAAATCGACCGTGTTCAGAATCTATAAAATATGCGTATGGTACAAGCCGCGAGTCATAAATAACTAAGCAGACACGGTTTTAAACACGGAAACGATGTTAATCTTCCACCCAGTTCACTCGGTCGGGTAGTCGAAATAAATAATGCTTTCGACCATTATTGTAAAACGTTCGTCACGGGACAATTAAAAGCTGTTCTCGCGTCGCGATCGGGACGTGCAAGGCTAACAGAGACTATAAGTGAATTCGTTTAAACCTATGAGACAGGATAATTCGTATCCATCTATACATATGTATATATTTAATTTAATTGACACAGTAATCGTTTTCAAATGGAATGTTCATAAAGTAAGACGCGCATTCTATAGTGCCGTAGCGCGCTTCGAACAACTCCCCCTCACCCTCCATCCATTTTCACAATGTACAAGAAAATTTACATATGAGAGGGTTAAAGTAGGATCGACGGGATCCGATTGGGCTACAGCCGTTTATTTATAACTAGCAATCTCTCTCTCTCTCGCGCACTCTCTCACCTTCCTCCCTTTTCATTTCTCACGCAAAGAACAAAATAACGGCGGGGGAACAAGAAATCATCGTGAATTCCTGTTCGCGGATTTGGCCATGAAAAATCTAGCATCTTCTCTCGAATATTCCCTAAACGTATGTTTGTTTTTTTTGTAGCCTAACGTAAGAGTAGAAATCCTGGAATATTACATCGATGGAGATGATAGCAAAAAATAACTTTCAGTTATTTAAGCTAGACATAGGCTATGTGTGTAAGGAGACTATTATGCATACTCGGGAAGAACATCAATCTCTGGTACATGATAATAGAGAATTTTATCCATTAGTCGGAATCTTCTTCTATGGTTGGAGGTAACATATCGAGATGTTGCGGACTAAGCATCCCCCTGGAGAGCGCGTACTCTGCCAGAGCACGATGACAGAATACGTATTGGTCCGGCATTTGAATACTGTAGGCCCTCTGCGCACGGATTTTCTCCACCGTTCCACGGATGTCCACGGTCCCGGTGTCCTCTAGCCGCGATATACAGATGTCTAACGTGCAGAACGTTCCTACGCAACAAATGTGAACGCCTATATTCACCAGTATCTTCCGAGATCTTGTACTCGTTAAGGTGGCTCACGGAAATTTTCAAATAATTATAAATTTAGTTGAAAACTTAACCGAACATTCTTAAAAGCTTCAATGTTCGATCGCTACCAACCAATCGCAAGGTCGACGATAAAATTATTGAAAAAGAAACGTTATAAAAATGTCTTCCTAACACGAGCCTTATGGAATTGTAGGCGATACCGAGAAATTAATCACTTCTTATTTAGTTACAATGACATTTTCATACAAAAATTAGGTGATTATAGATATTATTCACGGAGATTATGACAGCACTAACTGTTCGATGGAAAATATTTTTGGGTAATGTAACATGATTCAAGGAGTGCTTTAAGATGATTGTACTGTGTTAGTGACTCGAAGGTGTCTTAAAGAAGCTTGACCAACAAAGTTAACCGGTTAACAGGTCAAGGAGATCAACCGCGAATTCTCTTAAGTACCTGTCCTTCCTATTCCGGCACTGCAGTGTACAACTATAGGAGGTCCACGCGGATGACCGGCCCATGTGTCCCCTCTGGACGCTAGTAACTTATTCTGCTGCTGCCTCACTAAGGCTAGAAACTGTAACAGAGCCCTGGCCGACTGTGGAACACCGTAATCGGGCCACGCTGTGTACAGCATATGGCAAACCTCTCTTGCCTCGTCAGTCTGAAACGATAAACATACACATAGTGTCTGATTGCTCATCCCTGTTCGATCGATCGAAACGAAAACAGTATTACGCATAGATACGTATCCTATTCGTTTCATTACCTTGTTGTTTGTAAGGAGAAGCATCGATATCGTGTAATCGGGATTGGTGTCAACTTCGAGTGTAGTCACGGTGAAACCACCCGCTTGTCTCTCGTCACCAGGCTTCGGACCCCAGTACTGCGCACACTTCGTGCGTCCCCTCTCTATCACTCTGCAACAACGAAAATATCTCTCATCGTTAATCCCTTGCCATACGATTTCTTTTACGACTTCACTCTCGAGAATTACATTATCGTTAATAGTTTCCCAGACATAAAAGGAATTCTATTCTTATGGCAAGTGTTACATTTATTCGAACCCTTAAATGTTAGTACCAGCGGAACAGTATTTCACGTCGACTAAAAGAAAACGAATAATATACACGTTTAGATGAATACAATTTAAAATCGTTATCACGTGTCTGAGTCGATGTTGTAAGGCAAGGGATTAATAATTAATAATTCGCACAGTGTGGTCCTTTTTCCCGAAAATCTGGCGAAAATTCACATTTTGAAGTAAGCAGCAGCTTTTTGCTGGTATAACATATTTAATGAATATAAGTGTAACAATAATATAATAAATATTGCATATATGCAACGTCGATCTTCAACTAGTACTCGTCTTTACGCATGGAATAAGTGAAATAGAACTTGTTTATTCCAAGCAACAGTTATAAATCTTACTTTGTTTATTATTATTATTTTCAACGATGTATGTCAACTAGATACATGACCTGCTAAACATAGACATGCTGGTATTTTTCATAAAAATCGAAAAAAATAAAATTTTCACAATAGTTCATTTCAAAAATGTTTTGAAATTAAGATTACCATAGTGAATTCGACATTTTAATTATATAATTTTAGACGAACATCAGGAAACTATCAATTTCCACATACATCAATTTAAAAACAACATTTATTTATGCCAGTGATATTAAATTCTTCCATTGTTAATTTTGCATTTTTTATAAGATATTCGAATTCAGCAACCCCAAAAACACGAGAATACCGATTTTTATGAAAGTTCAATGAAGTTTTGGCCACCATTTCGGAAAAAAGTAATCACTATGCGTCGTGCAAGTTTTCCATTTCCGGGATAAACTCGTGAGCGTCTGCTGTTCCCAGATCATCCTCCAAAAATCTCGACAGGTCTTCGGCAGCGGTCCCTGGGTACTGATGAACGCGTTCTTTTGCTTGTAACCGTCGACGAAGTTCGCGTTTATGTAGTCGGACGTGGAATCCCCGTCTATCTGGGACAGGCATACTCGGCTGTGATCGTAGCAGAGCACGTCTGTGTACCGATTCTTCGACTGGTTCGATCTGAGCCTGGAAACAGAGAGCAGATCGGCGATCGTGTCAAGCCTACGTTGGAAGACCAAAGAATTTTTACGGAACTGACAAAAAAAATGCTACTTTGAATTTCGAACGATAGTCGAGACACTCCGAGTCAAAGACGGAGCTCAACGATGTCACCGCAACTGACAGATTTAACGAATTTATTACCATTGATGGGAAGTCTCTTTTTATACAGAAGTTTCACAATATCATCGTATGACACTTTGTACGGTAGTTTTAATCTTTTAGCTGTGGTCCCGCTTTTTAAAAGTGTGTATCTACGTTGCGTCGCTAGAACGACGCGGTGACGAGTATACTCGTCAAACACAGAATATGTACAGCTGTTGTAAAATTGAATTCAATTATAGCAAAATAGCTCTTGTTTTTTTTTTTTAAATTAATACTTGTATTGTTTAGACTTATTTATATTACTTACAAAACTTAAATATTCATAATTCTCTAAAAGAAATTATTTAGAAAAATGATGTTCGGCAAAAAGAATGTAAAAAATGAAAAGAACTAGTCTTGTCAACTAGTCTCAAAATATTCTACAATGTCTAAAATTTACAAATATGTTTTAATTTTCATAAAAATATTTTAATTCAAATCACAAACGGTAGTTACTTTTTCTCGCATGACGAGTATACTCGTCATTACATAAAAAATTGCCATTTCTTTATGACCAGAATATTGATCATTACATAAGAAACTGCCATTTCTTCATGACGAATAAAATTCCTCATTCACAGCTGAGAGGTTAAATATACATGTTATTATTAATTGATTCTGTGATAAAATTCAATTCGGTTGTTAAAGTTCTTTGCCATATTGCATATTCTGGATGTTGTATCGGTATTACTGTACCTGAATATGTAGGAAGTAGGGTAGAATATATTGGTATGCTTGGCTGCATGAGAGGGTACATTGAAATTTATTTGATTTAGGAGGATTGGGACCAATCTACTAAGCTGTTAATAACATTGGGGAACAAAAAAAATGTTGTTCATGTTGTCGGTGGATTTAAGATCGGTTTCAGAGTATACTAGAGTATCCTGATTCGCATGTACATGTTTTCAAAATAATCGAAACTGTTGAAATTTAACGTTTCTGCAGATTTGAAGTGCCTACTACTTTTGCTTTTTTCTTACCTATCCCTCTTGTGAGATTTGTTTACTTTCGGGTTAGTGATTTCCAAAGTAAAGAATAAAATAGGCGATTCGATTTTATTTCAGATGTGAACTTTATGGAAGTGATTGTGTATTTCTTTTTTCATAACTTCCTAATACTTTTTATCCAATTATCCTGTCTCTTCCTATAGCATTTCATAAACAAAATTAACCCCTTGGCCTATGATTTTCTTGACGCCTGCAGTCTCCAGGATTACATTGTTATCGATAGTTGCCCAAAAATAAAAGTAATTCTGTATTTATCGTAACTGTACTTTCACTGTAAAAACGTAAATATTAATACCAGCAACGTCATACTTCACGCCAACTAAAAAAAAAAACCGAATAACATTCTTCTTTGTTTAATCGATTTTTAAATCGTCAACACGAGTCTGACTCGATGTTATAGGGCAAAGTGTTAATTCAGAATCATAGAAACTGCTATGTTCCATTTCCTTCTCTTATTTTACATAAACATGTAAGACGTATGAATATCTCAAAAACTTGAGCCAATCGAGAAAAAAAAATATTCAGGATCAATATCACTAAATTACTAAAAATCAACTCTGAAATCCCTGGCGACGGATTCACTGTTCCCCTCTGTAATTTGTAACTGGAAATTCCACACATACTTCGCGTTGTTGAAGGAACCGTCCGGCGGTCTTTGTTTGATCTCCTCGTACTCTGCTATCAATCCGGCCCGTCCTCTCGAGTGTATGTCTTCGATGAGCTGTTCCATGGTGACGGCTTGCAGCCCGAGATCGCCGTGGAGGCTATCGTCATCGCTGAAGCCTGAACTAGCCGAGGACGGAGGCTGAACGGGAGACGGCGCCTCATCGGTTCCCATCCAGACGTCGCCGTTCGTGATCTCGATGTCCCCGATATTCGAGATACCATTTTTCGGTTTGCTTTTATCGATTATAGGACTAGTCGAGCTACTGACCGTGGTTCCATTTGGATTCTGTGCAACGGTGTGGTTCTGCGGTGGTGTCGGCGAAAGAGGACTACCCACTCTGGGGGTAACCTGTGCACGCAGAAATTTCACGTGTTAACCCTCAACGATTCGTTCGTGTCCTCGTTCACCGTAATGATATCTTCGCCCGAGTTCTTAACTGTTCTAACTCCATTAAAGAAAAAAAAAGAGATTTAGTTGATCAATCTACGTTTCGTTGGTCCGAAGAATACAAATTGACTATAATATAAAGAAAATTTAACCTATACAACAGCAAATATTCTTTCAAGACCTAACTCCGAAATTTTGAGTTTTTTTCTTTCTTAATGGTTGTATCTCCAAATATGTTCTAACTACCAATACACATTTTATGTTGATAATAAAATAAAACTTTGTTGAATATTGTATGATATTATAGTGTGCTTGTTTCACTACTTTCCTGCTTCTATAATATTAACACGTTAAACGCTATGTTGGTCCCTGGGTACATATAGTATCAAATTAAAAAATAATACAATTCACAATTCATACAATATATTTACACCAGTTTCCTGGATTTTATTCAAACGTTTCTCAACAAAACTGAAGTTTCCCTTCACAAGTATTAGAAAAAGTTCCAACCTTTTTGCTACGATTTCAACCTTATGTATTCGTCTAAATGGCCAGTAAACCAAAATTGGCTCCTCGTTTAAAGTGTCAAACTTCGTAAACGTTAAATTTCGTTTTTCAGTTTAGAAGCCAATGGACATAGAACAATTTAAGAACCAGCACGATGATATATATATATATATGTATATATATAAATCGAAAAAAATTCATTTCACGTCTCTGGACCGTCGATCGAACAGGCAACGTGGTTCCCATTCAGGTGCGTAACATGGATGCAAAAGTACTGACCTCGCAAAGTTCACCCCCGCTTCTGTTTGTCATGGATTTAAGACAGTGGAGCAGCCATGCCTCATGCTGTACCTCCAACGTGCCCCCCAAACGGTGCGGTAACGATTCTCGTGGTATATGTAACGTCAACTGAGGAATGGATACGGTGAACACACGGTCCCTCAATTTCTCACGTACGAACAACCGTAGGATCTTGAACGGCGCCTTAAACCAGAGCGGCGCGGTCACGATCAGTACCTTTTTCAGTTTCGCCGGGTAACCACCCTGAAACCAAAAGCAACGCACAACCGGTTGATATATAGACCATCACGGAGGAAAACATGTAAATATTATACTGCGCGGGAAAAGTATCAATGTCGATCTACGGGTAGCAAAAGCTGGAAAATGACACGAAATAGTTGATATTTATGCGATACAGTTTTACAATGCATTATGACACAGAGGGACTGTACACACGTAACCGATATATATATATATAGACTGCATAATTTATTTTCGAAACGGAGCGACTTTCAAATTCGACCTTTGAAAGACGGTCGGCAATAATAGAACAGTGTATAAACCGGGCACAAGCCCGCGGCCCGTTTAGTGTGCCAACTGCGAGCAATCCACCGGATATATTACCTGCGTTCGATCCGCGGTCAGCTCGAGGAACACCTACGGAACCATCCCCCCCCCCCCAGTTCTGTTCGATCCGAAATTAATGGAAAAAATACCTTCCTTTCTTTCTCGGTACAGGATCGAAATGAATAATTCGACGTATACACGCGAGGGCACGTTCGTTCGACTAACCTCCAACAGGAGAAAATTTCAGGTGACAATGGTGACAGGTCGACGAAAGGTTAACCGAGAAAAAGAGGTTTAGTTTCTGGAGGATACGAAAATGCAGGAAACAACGGTAACTTAACCCTCCGGTGTATCCTCTCCGCGGTGTATATAGAGGGCGGAAGTACCGTGACGGCTACGTCAGCAGCACCACTACACCGTCACGATCTTAAAACCCACCAGAACCTATATATCGAGAGCCCCCCCCCCTCTCCCCATTTATTCGCGGAGTGAAACCTAGAAAAATGAAACGTTTCGACCGTGCACATTTGCGGGATATTAAAACCGATCAGCCAAGGGGTCATCGTGGGCATCGTCGATGGATTAGAAAATCAGGATCAAACGGAAAGGGGGGGGGGGGATCAGTGCAGTGGCCAGAGATTCGGTCACCACGGACAGATAGCACACACTTCAGGACACAGGTCGAATCAATAGATTAGAATTCTCGTTTACCGTGACGTAGAGGCGTATCGAATTACTTCTCGATTGTGCATCGATCACCACTCCGTTTCGACAGATTTCAGTCCAATCACAGGTTTCCGAAATACATAACAGCACACACACACCGACACGTAAGACAGGAGACACATACACACGCGAACAGTTCTATCTTGTCAACGATGGGAACACCACAGGGGCTGCACCAGAAGTCACGATCGAAAAAATCACTGCCGGCACTCGCGGTCAGTCAATCGATAACCCGGGAAATTAACGTAACCGCCGTGGTACCTCGGCTAGCTCGACGCCGATCGAACGAACGCCGATTCGTGGCCGTGGACGGTGAGCATGACACGACGAATTCCAACCGCGGTGTGAATTCAGACGGTGACACGTTCGTCGACGAGGGGTAAGAGGGGGCAGTCGAGGAGGGGGTGGTGGGGGGGGGGGGGGACGTTAATACGAAAGAAAATCGGAAAAATCGTAGAGCACCACCGGAACAAACCCACCGGAAATGGGAAAAGAAAGAATCGAGTTACTGTTCGCGCGCGAGACGGAGAGAGAAAGACAGACTTGTTCCCCCCTCGATCCAATGGACGATAATGCCGCAAACGGGTCACGATGATTACTGACCGCGAGCGTCGCGACGTTCTACCCGCGTGAAGAACGCATGCGCGCGCGGCAACGCGCCCCTTCCTTCCCCCCTTTTTCGCCAACGCTCGACGCTTCTCCCCTCCCGAGCATCCCTTACGCGAATTTCTTTCTCCCTGGCGAACTACTACCCCCTCCCCCCCCCCACCGCCCCAGCAATCCCGAGAAATGTGTGTGCAGTTGACGTGTGTATCGCGGCCAGGGGTTCTCAATCGGGAGATTTTTAGGGGTGGGAAGGGACGATAAGCTTGAACTCCCCCTAACCCCTGTCGACGGAGCACGATCAACCCTCGGCGCCAGGAAGCGAATTAAAGGGGGATGTGTACAACACACCTGCTTGAAAAATCGATTTTTTTTTTACTTTTGGAAATGGGAGACCCTGTCCTCTTTCTCTATTTCTGCTCGTGACACTGGAATCTTCGTTATTGATTCTCTGGTTTTGGCGAGGGGAAAAGGAAGTTGTATGCCGATGTTAGGGCGGTATTTTTAACATTAGTGAACTGCGGATTTTTATGCAAACTAACATTTTCTGAAGTACCTTCAGCGCCACGAAGCGAATTAAAGGGGGATGTGTACAACACACCTGGTTGAAAAATCGATTTTTTTTTATTTTTGGAAATGGGAGACCCTGTCCTCTCTCTCTCTATTTCTGCTCGTGACACTGGAATCTTCGTTATTGATTCTCTGGTTTTGGCGAGGGGAAAGGAAGTTGTATGCCGATGTTAGGGAGATCATTTTAACATTAGTAAACTGCGGATTTTTATGCAAAGTAATATTTTCATAGAATTACATTTTCCTAGAAATTTATTTTGAAGTATCTTACTGGGTTAAGATTAAAATAGAAAACGCATTGGATCCGATGAAAGTTTTGTTTGTAATTTGAATTTCACAGAGCCCTATCGACTATAAATACATTAAATCCGCAATCTAAACATTAGGTATAACCCAACGGATATCCCTACAGTGGGTGGCCAAATTACACTGTTCAAAAGCCATATCTGGACTTTTAACATTCAATAGCAGCTTCGCAGAGATTTTTGTGCCCTGAATACGAATCCGAAAACGGTTTTCCGCCAGTGCCTTCAGTTTTCGGGAAATTTGACTTTGTAAAAAAATGCAAATTTTTAAATTTGATCATTTCCTGTGTTCAAATGGTAATTGTTATTCGATTGATCGTTGTGTTAAATTATTCTACAGGCTGTCCCGAATAAAATGGCATACGTTATTATTGCATTATGAACATTTAAACATGTTTCAACAACGATTAAAGGGAAAATGACACCTGAAATGCGTCAATTTTTGGAGATATTGTACAATTTTTTTTCGAAAAGTAAGGGTCCAGGAGAAAATCTGACTGATTTTTCCTTCGAAAAGCATCAACAAAAGTGGTAAGTCATACTTTGTTTTCATGCAAAACATGCGGTTAGACCCTTACTTTTCTTATTAACACTTCGTTTCATCATTCGGCGAGTGCTGCCCACCCTAGAAGTTTCAAACCCTTCTTTTGTATCACTTTATTAAAAGTGCAACCATTTCTCTAATACCAGAGGATACAATTTAGGTAAATTGGACTTCCAAGTGGCGGGCAAACTCCATATCTAGAAAAAATTTCGAATAACGAATAAAAGATAAAGAAAACTATTTCGTCGAGTTCGGGACAATAATCGAGAGGAGTCTGTAGGAAGTATTAGAAAGTTATGAAAAAAAAGTCCAAAAAAAAAATACACAATCACTTCCAAAAAATTCACCTCTGAAACGAAATAAAATCACTTATTTTACTCTCTATTTTGGAAATCATTAACCCGAAATTAAAAAAATTTCACAAGTGGGTTTTAAGAAGAGGACAGGTAACGAAAAAGCAAAAGTAATAGGTGCTTCAAATCGACACAAACGTTAAATTTCAACAGTTTCGATTACTCCGAAAATCGCAGCCAATTTATCTAAAACGAATATGTGATACAAAATCATCCACTCTGAAACTGATCTTAAATCCCTGACAACACGGAACAAAAATATTCTTAATCCCCCGTGTTATAGATGTAAAGGATGGCGTGACGAAATATTGATACATTATAGTTTTTGAGAAATTACAATCGTTATATGCCAGTAAAAACACAACAATATGTTTTGTAATAAAGATGGTGCTATTATAAGTGTATTTCCATTCCAGAGTGGTACATCGAAGTGTTCATAATAATTTGATCACCCACTGTATATCATCCGAAGAGAATTTTTCCGAACTCTGTACGCCGGTGGTAAACAACCGACTAAATACCGAGACCAGCACATATTTTTATCCTTGTGCCGTGAAACACATCTCGTTATAAATAGTCTCTGGTAAGTACTCTATAATTGCGTCATTCCGGCGAAACCTTTGAGAGACACCCTTGGGCGAGTCCGTGCCTCCTGCCGGCTCGGTTCACTGGGCAATTGCAACCGGGGTTTTCGTCGAGCGTGAACAACCCCTTAAGCTTTCCTGTTCTTTGAGATGCACCCCTCTCCTCTATGTACGAGACGCCCCGGAATTACTTTATGTACTCTACCCTCTATTATACTGGGTGACTCTGAAAGAAAACGGTCCTGCCAAGGGGGCTGAAAGAATCGAACTTTTTGTCCCGGTTCAACGGAAACTCCGCACGTTGTGGACTCTATTTCGTGAAGCTTCGCGATATACAATCTGGTACAACGTCGAAGAAATTATTACCGGCTCGCGGAGATGTTAACCCTTTCACTCAGAAATTATTTCAAAGTTACCAAAGATATATATTCCTGTATTTCTGTGTATATTATATGGACACAGAAATCATTCATAAGAACATTTTAATATTTTGAAACCGTCTAATACCGTTTTTTATTTTCATTCGTTGTTCGACAACTTTACTTCTATCACAGTTATAATGTATAATAGTTCCTATTAGAATTTTATTATATGTATATAATAAAACTCAATTTTTTTTACCTTTAATCAATAAACCATATGGCAATAGTGGAAACGGAAGGGTTAAACAGAAGATCGCTCTATTATTATAATAAGATTACAATCAGAGCTGGGTAAAATACTATGTCAAATAGTGTAAATAGTAAATAACCTGTTTTATTTTAAATCATAGGGTGTACTTTCGGAAATGAAATATTTTGTTTCTCGGAAAGGTTTTTTTTTAATTTTATTTAATTACGATGGATTCCAAACAATTTAGTAGACGACAGACACAATGATATCGAAGAATTGCTGTTTTATTCGTCGCCATTTCGTGACTTGTTCACTTTTGTCACAGTTATATATAATAATAACTTCCATTATAATGTTATTATACATAACAAAACCTCATTCTTCTTACCATTGATCAGTAAACCCTCTTGAAATATTTGAAAGGAATTAAACATTTTCTAAGTTCCTATTGTATTTGTAACAATGCTCAGCACCTGAATGCTATCGAAGAAAGAAGACAGAGGACACAGATAATTGTTTTACTTTACTGATAAACTTTCAAATGCACGTTCAAAGGTTACAACTGGATAAGGGGGTCAAAAGTGCCCCTAGACCGATTTAGATCTATGATACACCATTCGATAGCTTATCAAAATAATATTACAAGTACGTTCGAATCTAACTGAATCGTTTCGAAAGTTTCATAAATAGGTACCTACTTCGGAAAAGGAAAGCAATACTTTTAAGTAAACTTGTACCCAGATGAAAGAGTACTTCGATCAGAAGTTTTCTATTCTTTACAATTGTATGCAATTTAGCGGAAATTATATATATATAAATAAATGGTCCAAATTACATTTATTTGCACATCTTTTTTTGAACGAAATCAATTTGTTAAAAGTTCATTGCCCGATACAATGAATTACAATGATTCAATCAGTTATCCAAATCTCACTAACACTTAGAATTCGAGTACTAAGTTGTACTTGTGAAGAATTGGAATCTTTCTAACATCAAACTACTAACAAGTATGTTTTCGAATCTACAGGTAGTCATTCTTGATTTTATGCATTTATAGCCAATAAGACATTGTGTCATACAAAAGAAAAAAAACTTTCGTCAGACGCAATTTGTTTTCTATTGTATTCTGAACCCAATAAGATATTTAAGAGAAAAAATAAATTCCTACCTTTGCAGTTGTCGTCAAAAATTACTTTAGAGAATCCCATTTTGCATAAAAAATCCGCAAGTCTAATAATTACATTTCACGTATACTCGGTGAAACTTTATTGCTTTTGAGTAGTAATTAAAATCCATGAAATGAAACTTTGTTATTGAAACTGACTCGGATTCGTAGATACATATTGAACTTGATCCCATCCTTAGCTGTACACGTACATTTCGCGTTGCGTGGCACGGGTTCGTTACCAACTCGTCCTGATTTCGTTCGCGAGTCAGAATAAAAACGAAAGATGTTGATTAAATTTCCTGTGTAAAGATAATGGGCCTGTATATTTGGAGCGATCAATTGGCAACGGCAAAGCCCCTTTGTTCTCGCGGGGCTCTGTGTCGAATCCGGGTGCGAATTTACACGACGATAAAACGTTGCCAGGTGAGAGATTGGTCGAATTTTCTCGAGTCGCGGTGAACACACGGGAATTATTTATTATTATTCTCGGGACAATTAGAGTAAGTGCAGCATATTCGAAATAGCGTTGGTAATTTGGAGTACCGAAGTAAATAAAAAAAAACTACTAGCGTTACTCTAATTTGTAATATCATAAATAATAGGGGCGAATTGCCTGTTAACCCTTTCGTTCCTACTGTTGTCGTATGCTCTAAATTACGAAATAAAATGTTAGTATCGTGCATTTTTCATATCTGTGAGTATACATACTAATTTCTTCTACATAGTCTTATATAGATGGCATGACACACATTTGAAGGTGCAATTAAAAGCTTATCGGTAAAATGAAACGTTTCAGTAAGTAAACAACTCGTTCGTTGGCTCTTTTATTTGATGGTACTCAAGTTTGAGTAGTTTGTTACGAATACAATAGAAACTTACGAAACTCTAGTTTGTTTTAAATATCGCAAGAGGATTTATTGACCAAAGGTACGAAACATTGGGTTTTATATCTGTAAAAACATTATGATGGGAATTATTATATATCACTGTGAGAAAAATGGCATTACACAGTTTCAAAATGTTCTTGTGAATCCTTTATATTGTTCATATGTCACGTAATATTCACAAAAGTACGAAAAAATATGCCTTTGGTAATTTTGAAACAATTTGGGAATGTAAGGGTTAACCTTACTTAATGACATTCGTGGACGAACCGGAATTTTGACATTCTCGGCTCGATCTTCAGTGGAGTGAAACGTCAATTTGCAAAAGTTCTTCAACAAGTATTCTAATCGTTGTAATCATGGTTAAAACATGTGACAACTTCGGGGTAAATCCTTTAATCTAATCATTTGCATATTACTTTTATGGTTTCGTCTCGATTTTGAGAATATTTCGAGAATACAAAATGTGACATGAAATTTTTAGGTTCTAAGTCTATGTTTCTAATTCGGAATGTCGAAAATGAATTGTAATTTTCTTACTGGAAAAAATCCTTCTGTGCCTTCTCTGTAATGTGAATTACAGCGAAGACAAAAATTGGAGAAGAATGGGTGCAGTGTTTCATGTGTGAAATATGGGCACTTTGAATTTCAACATTCTACCTTCAGAATTCGTTACCCTCTATTACACAATTATCTAAAATGAATAATATTTTGGATATCGAAGGTTCGAGGTATCGTTACTTTATACCGAAAAACAATGTTCAATCAAATTGTTGAACTTTAAAAATTGACTTTTGACCAGTAAAAAACACGATTCCATATCACTGTACTGTGAAAAGAAATCGTATTAACCCTCATCCGTCCCTCATTTTCCCAATTCAGTTTATCTCTCGGTGTCAAATTGCTCCAGTGGTAAAAATTAATGCAACGAGGTGATAAATGGTGAAATTTGCAAATTCTTTAAAGTAAAAATCACGAAGCCTCGGCTAACTTTACCCGCGCATAACAGAATAACGTAAATTCTTAGGAGAATACTGTGTCAAATTGACACAAGGGACGAATGAGGGTTAATGCACGCTGGCGCGGAACATACCTTCAACAGGGTGAGAATCTTCTGCGATAGATCGTAGTCGAAATTCTGGTACTTGCTGTCCGACATATCGTATATGAAAACCAGACCATGCTTTTGAGTCTCCGCGCTTTCGAGAGCCGCGTCCAATTGATACACAACGCCCTGCGGATGCAACAGAGAAAGTTCCATTGTTAGAAGACGTCTTGTCGCGGGAGCGGCCATTAAGCAACTGGTTGCATCAATCCCTTTATTATTCGGTATTGAAGTGCATTGTGCTTTCGGGTACGACACACCGAGATCGTGGAATCGGTAAACCGTTTCTCACCGGTCGTGATTCGCGTCGCGGTTAACATAAGGGACACACAGTGGTTTAAGGTGATTATAGATTACACACTTGCAGGGTTGTTTGATGCGATGTGTTCTGCGGAAGGTGCAAATGCGCCGTGAAAATAGCTATTACCGCCCCTGTCGCGTCCCTGGAAGGCTGAAACGAAACGTTTCGAATCTTTGTGTTACACGTGTGCACATACATATACATATGTATATACAGAGTGTCCCACATAACGTGACTACGTTAGATATCCTGCTTGCTATTGATTTGCAACAAATGTATTTTAATAAATGCTCGAAATGATGTCCATCAACAACGATACATTTTTGCACTAATCTCTCTGTCATAGTTATTTTATGATTTAAATCTACTCCCTTACATTTCTCGATTTTTCGTACTCAAGTTCACACGAAGGTCATACTATTTAAGTCATTGGATTGGTTTCGACTCAACTATTAACCATCGTGATAAAAATATGTAGTTCCATTTGAACAAAAAAAAACATCAATGACCTTGAAATCTCGAAAAGTATGACCTTGAGAAAATTTTTTGCTCCTCCTAACGCGAATAATATTTTTCCCTCGTATTTTTTTGTATCATCAAAAACAAGTGAGATATCGAAGGTGTTCACGTCAAGTGGGACACCCTGTATAGTATAAAAGGGATGTTTTGTTTTATTATTGACTCGAATCGATCTCTCCTTACTAAAACTGTAAATTTCCCGGTGCGTAGCTCGCTGAGTAAGGGTTCCTGGGTCGGATACAAAAGCGCGAGACCTTCTCGTCTTCTGGTCGCTTCGTGCTGCTCGTACAGAGCTAATGCTCGGGCAACCTCGAACTTCCTCGCTGTTAGAAATTTCACTGCTGTGCTCCAGGACACCGGACCGGCTCTTCTGCCAGCTCGACACTTGTTCACCGCTTCGATAAATTCTTTTGTGGCCTTTAAATTGAAACACAATGCTGATTACTTTGTGGAAATCATTAGACAAACGCGGTCAATCGAATGTCAAGGCATCACTATGTACTTAGCCCCGAATAAAATTCAACGCGTTCGAGACTGACATATTATTATGACACTATTCCGAGAAATAAAAAAAAAATGTTTAAGTGCCGTCTACACGCGACTCGTCGGTCTCGATATGACAGGGTGTTTCCGAAATGGTAGTACAACCAAAAACGAACTGTAATTCTACATACAATGATAAATGGAAAAATGTAGAATAATAATTATTTCGCACGATGCTTCGTTTTTCGGGAAAATCGAATTTAATTATTTGGCATTATTTGCTGGATACGCGCGCAATTCAATAGGACTTGGTTAACACGTCTGTTCATTGCACTCGGTTTCTACTTATATTCTCGCTATAAACATACACGCGTTGGATAAATCCTTGAAAATTATCTTGGAAACGAAGCATCGTACGGTAAAATGTTCTTCTACATTTTCGACTTATTTCTCCATGTAGAATCGCATCCTTTCGGAAACATCCTGTATATATCGAAAATCTCTTGCCAATGGTAAAATATGGTAAACAATAGACGAAACTCGGAAGACCTCCGTGTAATTGAATTCACAGTCTGCCGGTGATCATGAAAGTGGCCCGAGTCACAATTAAACATTCTGCTGAAATACTTTCATATTATTTTAATCTAAATCAATGTAACGCCAAATAAGTGAATTCGTTCGATTTTTTTAGATATTTAACTTGTACCACTTTCATAATCATCGGGCAGAGATCGTCGAAAGGACCATTTAAAAGATCAATATAATCATATATGGAGTCGATATACATAAAAATCAGTTCGTATAAGAAGCAACAGAGAACTCACTTCTCCGTGTATAATATGTAGACGAACACCGGAAGACGGAATGCATGCCCAGAAATTCACGAGATTCTAATCGAATCGGAAATAGGTCCGTAGATTCACGGTGCTTAAAACGATCGTGCGTGGGTCTCTCTCGCCGCGTTTCTACACTTTCGAAACGTGCAACAGTCATTCGTCAATGATTTGTGTACATGCCCGGAGTACCGATATAACTTCCGGTGCCCGACTACCTCCCCACCGGCCACTTCCGCCATAGTACGCTCGCCGGGGAGTCGGCGCACGGTAAATGGACAGAGGTTCGTTCCAGGGTCAAGAAGAAATTTAATATCGCGAATCGATACTTTTGTAAATCCCCCTCCCCTACCCTCCATGTGGACTGGCCAGAGAGCTCCACGAGTCTGGCTCTCGTTTATCGACGTTCACCGGAAAATGTGCGCGGCGAATACCGGCGACCGTGTATAGATTTCGTTTGCATTTTTAATTTTCCCTTTTTAAAACACTCGACTTTTTTCATATCCCCTCTCTCCCTCTCTCTTTGTATTTCTCTCACTCGGGCGGCGGTGTTTATGAAACGGAAAAAAAGTTTCTACTCATCAACCGCTGTGCAATTTCCACGATTAATTTATCAACGCTACGATGTCGTTTCCTCGAATTAATCCTCCCCCTTGCGTTTGTAAAACGAACGCGACGACGGTCATAACAAAGAAACGAAATGTTATTCCCGCGATGACAGTATATACTATCTCTCGTGTGGAATGGAGAGAAACATCGCCGATCAAACTCCGGCTACACGCATACCTATACAGGCATACACATACGCGCGCCGAATCACGATTTCGTCTCGCGCGCATTCAACAAGCAACGGAAAAAACGTCGGCCGGTGGTCGACGAATCGAACGATCCCTCCGTAGAAATTTATCGTCGAGCGAATTCACGGAAGCTGGTTTAAATGGATACCGGTTCCTTTTGTCCCGCGATTTCCGTTCTGTAATTTCTTCACCGGACGGAGCAGAGAGAGAGAGAGAGAGAGACAGCAAAAAAAATTCAAAGGACCAGACTGAGAGAGGACGCGAGAGAAAGAGAGACGAACCGATGTTTATATTACATACACACTGGTAAACACACGTCCGCCGATGTGCGTCTGCCTCCTCCTTGCTCACGATGAAATTGACCGCCCCCACCCCCACGCGTGTCATCAAAAACAATTTCACGGCGGCACGAATTCGTATCACTCGAAACAACACTATTGAATAATATAATATCGCTTACCTGCTCCTGCTCGACGGTTAACGTGGCTGCCATTTTGACTTAACGCACACTGACATAACCGACAAAACCACGCGCGCGCACACACACCACTCACTCTCACACATACACGCACACACACACACAGACAGAGAGAGAGCAGCAGCACACACCAGAGTCGCGTCAACGGATACGTATTTTTGTGCTAAGCCTGGCGATCCTCTGCCACATTTTGTTCCGCGGACACACACGTTTCCCTACCGTTCGCGTACAACACACTAATATATATACCCTACTCCGCGCACCACTGGTCCTTTAGGTTCGACAGCCGGACCAACTCACTTCTTCGTGAACTGGTAGATCGGTCCGTCGCTCGTTCATTGTCCGGCACACGAGACAGCTATAGCGGATCTGCCGCCGTATACGAGCGCACCTACTCTCACTCCTCCCCCCCCCTTCCCAAACCCCCCACCCAACGTGTTCAGACGCTCGATCGTCTTTCTCTCCGTAGGTTGAGCGCCATCTTTAGACGAGAGAGGAACACACAACCGTGTAGGCGACACTACCACGCGCTACTGCCTGCTCCATATGGGACGGCTGAGGGTTTCATTCCTACAGTTGTGTGTGGGGAGGGGAGGGGTGACATACCTTGAGTGTTAGGTTCTCGATGATAGTGGTGGAGGGACGGAGGAGTATTAGCGGAACAACTCTTTATTTAACCGAGATAACCGACGAAGCGATGCAACGAAAAATTTAGTCGTTGAAAATTCATGCGATTAACGGAAAGTTAATACCTTGAAACATGTCGACGATCCACTGTAAAATCGTTGGTTGTCGATTAATTTAATTTTTTTTTTTTTGGTACAGTCCAACTTTTCTTTTTTGGCTTCTCGAAATGACTCGATAAATAATCATTATTCCAAAAGCAGCCAATGTTTGTCACATGATATACACAACATTAATTGCAGATTTATGTTCTGTATTTTTTATCGGTTCTCTGTCCTTCTCACGCCGGATATATGCTATCATTGACGGGGTATAGCCGTCGTCAAAAGAGTAAGACTGGCTAGACAGTCGGTTAGGGACTCAGGGATCTCGTGAAAAATTAATGTCGGAGACTAGGCACGTGTCTTCGTTACGTGTGTTCGTGGTTCTCGCAAATTTGTAATAATTAGAAATTTAGTCGAAAATTTCACAGAATATTCTTAACAGCTTTAACTTTTTATTGCTACCAAAAAGTCGCAACGTTAACGATAAAATTATTGAAAAAGAAACGTTATCATAAATTCTTTTTTACACGAGCCTTATGGAACTGCAGTTGATACTGAGTTACTCATTTCTTATTTAGTTACAAAAAATTACGAATTAATTAACGACCAAATAAAACTGAAAATTCAGAACAAAGAATGCAAACTTATGTTTTAATACGTTCGGTAGCATCTTCTACGAATATTTACTATGAGCGGCAATGTCGCTTGTTTTTCTTCGGTTTGCTCGACGAACTTTCCAATTTTTTCTTCAAAATTAAAGAAAAATTTTTGTTTCTTCCACATATTTGTACATTTCTTTCCATTTAAATATTTTGAAGTAGTTTAAAATATCAATCATTCAAATTAAATTGGTAAAATGGATAAAAAGTATAAAGCCCCAGTTAGATACAACTTCAAACATGGGAGCTACCTAAATACGTGTTTCATTGCGGATGATTCGATAGCCGAATATGTATACATATATGTATTTTAATTCGATTCTGTTCTCGAAGATACTGTTTTAGAATATACAAATCGTATTTCCCACATTTGCATTTGAATGTTTCACTCTAATCCCGATCCAGATAGCACATAACGTCTAATGACGCCTTGAAGACGGCTTAAAGGTGCCTCAGACCTGAAACAGCCATAAAAAAGGCGTCTTTAAGGCATCACGTGCTATCTGTGGAATGTAAGAAGAATCTATGAATGGAAAACGAGTTCTTCCCTCAGCCCACTCTTACGTTACAGCCACTCCCACTTACGCCAACTGATTCTTCGTCCAAGTTCCTCTCCCTCTCTCTTCAGCGTCATCGTCAACTTTAGATACATTACTGTCAACGTGCCTCTCCACCCTCGTCACTTACACGCATCACATTCAACGACTTGAAGTTCATTCGTCGTGTCTCATTTTAGAAGTCCATACACTTCGAAGCGTTCTACCAATTCCCGGATTCCTCGGGGAACCTTATAGCTCGTTCGTAACACTTCGATCGTGAAGGAAGTAGGCGAGAAATCGTTATTGAATCTTTGCCAACGAAAGCAACAAGTTTGCACGTCATCCAGAAGCGACAAGTCCCGTAATAAGATTAAGTATCGAAGTTCACGGTGGCCGACTTGGATCCTCTTAATAGTTTTATCGATTACTGGAGCCCCCGTGCCAATTTTTTTTTTTTGTTGCATATTTCCCGCCAAAATAACGAGACGCGTGGGAAATAATTTTGATGATTTTTAGTGTTTACCTATGTAGGATGTTTCATCGAGAGCGTAGCCAGAGCTCGACGTTTTTCCACGGGGTCGTTCCCCATTTTGTACACGTTACAAGTAAAAAGAAGGTAGACGAGTATATTATGTTCTTTTTTTTTTTTTGTAATATAAACATTTTTCTTATTCAAACGTATGTTCTTACATTTACACAGTACAAAAAATTATACTCAGACCTGCCGGCCCGCGGTTCATAATTGCTATGACTGGGGGCGGCCGGTGGTGGGGTGGTGCGGGACTTTTTTTTGGGGGTGGATAGATTTCGATAGGAGCTAAGGGCTGTACAATTTGTCTCATCATCCATTCCACTCCGCCCCCAATACACGGCCCCTTGTTCTCTTGCGCATCCTTCCGGAAGTTCGCTCAAAAAAACAACATACACGCGCGCGCGTCCACATAAACGCCAAATTACACACAAGCAATCGTTTCGAAATCGTTCTCTCTCACTCGCTCACTCTCTCTCTCTCTTTTTCTCATTTATACAACTACAACTCGCTCGTTCGTTAATCGTGCTTCTTCGCCCCGTAGTTCAGCAACATTTAAATATCGGTATTCCTCCGTAATAATTAATCGTAATCATGATAATAATTAATAATAATTAATAATGGTATAATAAACTATCTATCTACGCGTGTAAAGTGTATGATTTTTTTTTCCAGTTTCTCCATGTTTCTCGTGGAGTGTGTGTATCTCTTAATCCTAGATTTTCTTCGTATTTATATATGTATATATGTATACATATATGGTATGTATAAATGTATTTACATACACGTAGCGGGGAGAACAAATAATAGCTTTGTCTGCAGCAATAATACAGAGTATGCTTCTTTTTTTTTTCTTCCTCTCTATAACTTTATACAACGTCGTCACCCATTGTAGGTTCATCGTTTCATCATCATCATCATCGTCATCAACATCATCATGGACGCTCGTGAATCAATAACGGCGCTATCATTCCTTTCTTCTCTAGCTGTTCGTTATTTATTTATTCCCGTAATATTAACGTTACCCTTATCGACACTAAGATATTTAAAAATTTACTCGTTTAAATATTATTTTAATCAAGTCGTTGTATGCTAGACGAATGTTGAGATCAAAGAAATTGCGGGTTCCAGGATTCCAGTGATTTGTTCTTCGGGTTATTTTTTTTTTTACTTACTTCCTCTTTTCTCTTATTTTACAAGGTCGTTCTCGAAGATTTACCAGCCGTGGGTGAACTGTTCCGACGATCGATAAGCGCACGAGCGCGCGTGTCACAGCTAACTTCGATGCGTCTATCTAAAGCCGTTGGCCTTCCTCTTCGTCCATTCTTTTCCTTTTTTTTTTCATTTAAATCCGTTCTGACAATCGAGCTGGTGAATGTACAAGGATTATCCGCACGGTGAGGCGTCGCGGAGAGCTCAAATAGACGTCAGTTTGGATCGCACGGAAGTTCGACGAGGTCGGGCGGATGGCTTTTGAATTCAGACGTATCGTGAATAGCGACGGTTCGTCGGTTCTATGCGAAAAATGATAGGAACTCGGCCTTCGGTCGTCTATGGATTCTGGGCGTGACTAAATCCGTTTTCCTTTTCTCCTTCTGTTTCTGTCTTTTAACTTACGCGTTACGAAAAACACAACGTGTGTGCAACCACGCGAGAACGTTCACGTCGTTCTAAAACATTGGCACTTCGAAAGTCGTTACACCTTTACACCTCGCGCGTTAAATAATGTTACGATAGTTATTTAGTTACTAATTACAATACAATTAGAATATCGCTGTTCTGTCGGATAGACGGTTCTTTGCGTATGTGTGTGTGTGTGTGTGTGTGTTCTTTTTGACAAAAATAACAGGTTCTTTCCACGTTTTTTTTTTACTCCCGGTCTCTTTTTTTTCTCGTTTTGTTATACGCTCACCCTTATTACTGGGTCATCACTGGGCCACATCGTTAAAATCCAATCTATAAAAACATTAAATTCAATCGAGTCTATATATACACGCGTCTTCTATCGATCTCATATCCCGCGAAAGATAATCATGGTATCGGCCAAAATTTTCATCAGCATTCCGGTTTCTCTCTGCGTGTGTGTACGTGTGTCTGTGTGTTTTCCCGTTATTTTTTGTTCCAATGCCTCTGTTCCAAACGACAAGTCATACAAACCTTTTTCTGTTCACGAAACAAACTTCGCCGCCCGTATAGCCGATATATTTTTCGAATACGAAGAACATATATCGAAATAATATCCGTTCGACGTGTATCCATCCCCGAGAAAGTCGAACTGCAACGAGAGATTAACATCACGGAGTTTAATTGTATATATATGTACTTGACGCGAAAGGTATTCAGAGTAGTCTTATCCTGTTAAACTGGACAGACGCGAACAACAGGTTAGGCAGTGTTTTCCATTCTTGTGCCCTTCATATCGCCCGGGACACAGGAATTTAGCGAGAAATATATATCGGCCATTTGGCAAAGCGCTTGATCAAATTTTCATTATTCTTATTCATTTTTCCTCCATTTTTTTTTCCTTTGGTTCTTTAATAATCGATACCAAAAAGCACCAGAGATCACGAGAACACGGTCACGGGATCGACGGTTTATCACTGATCCAACCAACAATGTTTTTCCTCATTTTAATCGACATCTAATTGCACAAAGGTACCTCTAGACAATCCTCTCGCAGTACTTGCTATAGTAAGAATTCATTACACAGTAAAATCGATTATCTACATTTATATAATATAGACAGTATGTATTGAATACAGGCACGATATAAGTAATTACAAATAATGTATGATCCAAAGTCCTCCTCCCGGTATCACAATGGTAAATGGACGCCGCGGTGCACGACTGACTCGTGTCACCGGCTCCAATGCTTCAATGAAAATACTCGCGGGGACTTCATGTCCGCCAACTCGCGTTTCTTTTTTTACTCGAGAAAGGAAAAAAGAAAAACACGTAAAAAGGACATTCAAATGAAACAACGAATATTCCTTTCTTCTCTCTTTTTCTCGCTTCTCTATCTCTCTCACACACACACACACTCTCTCTCTCTCTCTCTCTCTCTCTCTCTCTCTCTCTCTCTCTCTCTCTCTTGATTGGCTCAGCCAATATCAAAAAATCAAACTTTTGAGTTACTCGTCAAATATCACAACAAATTCTTGCACCTCGGTACAGGTTTTCCCGGAGAATCATTAAATCGTCGGATTCTCCTGTCATCCCGGTCTGATTAGCGTATACGCCGCGCTTAACGGGAGAGCACAGAGGGGCGGCAACAGGTTGCACTCGCTGGTTTGCTGCAGCGAGATTTGAAATCGAACAACGAATCAACAACGGCTCTTGCGACCGCGACAGGGGGCCTAGGGCTACGTCTCCTCTTTCTTAATCTCGTTGTTGGCCTTCAGTTTAGTCAGCGTCTCATCCTTTACGTTCGACAGAACGGTCAGGGAATCCTTCACCGCGTGATAGATTATGTTCTTGATTTGCAGCTTGTCCTCGTGATTGGTGTGCGTGTCCGACAACGCGCGGAACTCTTGCGTGAGATGGAAGCAATGCGAAACGTTTTCCGGCGATACGAAATCCTCGGCCACTTTTATACAATTGTGAAGATTACGGACTTGATGGGGCGCGCCGGCCGGCACGAATACCGCGTCACCTAGGCACTGAACGATGGCGTATCTGCAAAACGAAAGACGATAATTACGTTCCACGTTTATGCGCTGCTGCTAATACGGTTATATAATTTTAACAAAGCCCGAATCAACGATTCTGTATGTATATATGTATATATATTTACCCTTCGACGCCGTATTCGCGGTACAGGCGTTCTCGTAATGGTCCATCGAGATAGCAGCTCTGATCGTGAATCGGATCATGATGGGGTTCCAAACGGGCACCACGTTCCAATGCCACCGCGTTCAAAAGATCGCGAATTTTATCAGCGTCCCGGGCCGCGTAAATGTGCCATAACGCACCGGGTGCTTCTCCTCGTTCGCGAACACGTCGCCGTGTCAAGATATCACAGCCTGCTTCATCTATCGCTCTCAATGCCTCTAAAATGACACAACAATATGCGGTATCGCGTTAGTCCACCGTACCTCGATCATTTTAGTCTATTCGAAAACAAAGCTTTAATTGACTGTCAATGATACCTTTGACGTGTTCATCGTTGTCGGCATCCTTCGGAATCCCAACGTAAACCATAACGTTCACCGCGTCGGAAATGTCCAGGTGAAGATTGGTCGTACCCTTGTTCGGATGGAGGGCCGACCCGTAAGCGTTGTACATCTTCGGCCCCAGATCCGGTCTGACGAAGCAGTCGGGCAGACGGCTAGCAAGATTCAATCTTCCGTTCCGGTGGGTGTACTCCGACAACGGCAAAACTTTCATCAGATCGGCGAACCTGGACGGCAACAACTCCGCGAAATCCTCGCCCGGCGGCCAATCCTTCAATTTCAGTAACATCGGATTCCCTCTCTCGTCCTTCAATCGTTTCGAGAAGTGCTCGAATCCTTCCCAGAATTTACGCATCGGTTGATTCGGTACCAGGTTTCCGGTCATACAGTTGATTAGATCGTTCTTCTCGTCCCCGAAGTCCCGGGCGAACGAGTCCGGATGCCAGAGATTCATGTCCAAAGACTTCGCGACGTCCGACACGATAACCGGTTGTCCACGTTTCCACTGGTCTTGAAATATTCGATAGTTGTTAGGGTTATTCGGATCGTTTAACCTGAGCAATTTGCCGTCGCATAGCCAGGAGTGCGGCACATCCGGGTAGAGGCTCTTGCTCTCTGTGAGCGTCATGATACGAATGGGCAACGGTTCCCTTCCCTTTTGCGTCCACTTGTATCGTCTCACGAAATGCTTCAGTTCCCTTGGCTTCTCGTCGTCCAGTCCGCCTTCCCTCTCCTTTTTCACGCTGTGCTCGATCACGCTGGATATCACCTCGTCCAGCGTGTCCATCTTGGACTTTTTACCCGATTTCGTTACGTTGTTAGGCGCGTTGTTGCCGGACGGGGCGTTAACGCTGCTGGAATTGTTCGTCGGTGAATTCGATCTGGACCCGTTGCCGTTCGACTTGTGGGACGGTCGGATGAGCAACTCCCGAAGGGTCGAGTAATTGCCATCCCGATCCTCGTCGGAATCCGAGCTCGAACCAGTCCTCACCATTTGTTTTGTTCTCCGATGATCCGTTGGACTCGTTCACCTTCTTCTCCTCCTTGATTTCTTGCTTCACGTTCCCGTTCATAACCGGTACCGTGTCGCCCTTTATCAAGTTTCTTAGATAGTCGTTGGGTGATGTCTGAACGACCAACGAGCAACCGCAGTGCTGTGGTATTCCCCACTCTCCGCGGCACTCGTGTAGCCGTTGTCCAAGACGTACCAAGCTGTCGCCGGCAATGATTTGAGTAAGCATGAGCCGTTCGGGTTCGTGTACTTGTCTGTTGGTGCACAAAAGCCACGAGAAATCGTCCCTGTCCTTTCCACTTTCACCCCAAATCTTGATCGTTCCATTTTTGCGTCCCTGATTATAATGGAATACTTGGTAAACCTTTTGCATTCACGTATGTAACATGCTTATACTTAACGTTAATATGGTTCAGTGTTAAAAAGCTCGTTATTTGGTAATTGTATATCACGGATTATCAATACTTTATTTATCATCACGCTTCGATTACATTACAGAATACAGAATCAGTAGAAGAATGACGGTGGTTTCTTACCTTGTAACAGTCGATGCACACAACGAAACCGCATTTACCGCAGGCCCAGTGATAATTGAAAAGTGTCGTCTCGCACACGTCGCACATCTCTCGAACACCCTGAACCACTCGCTTCCAAGCTACCGTTCCGTCTATAAGTCCCGAATTTGCTGTCAAGGTGAAGGAACAATCGAATACGCGAAGCGTTAAATCATGCGATCAAAAGAAATCAAAAGAAGCGAACGTAAGTAATTAGAATCCACATAAATAACAAAAATATTAAGTTAAATCGAATAATTAAATTATAGAACGAACTTTCCCTTCTCTTAAAGACACAGACATTATTGAACATGCATGGTAACATTTCAGCTTGTATCTTGAAACATTAGTTTTCCGAAAAGATCTGATTTAAACGAACTACGCTTACCTTCGGCCTTGTGCTGTTGGAGCGCGTCCTTTTCTTGATGCAATAGATCGCAAAATTGGTCCCCAACCTGACGAAGTAATCTGTGAGCCATCTCCAAGTCCAGATCCTCCTTGTCACCCTTGTCTTTATCGTTCTTGTCAGATTTTTCATCTTTCTTCGTGTCCGAACCATCTTTGCCTGGTAACCATAACCGAAGATCTACCTGTAACGTCAAAACAACAACAATCGTTAGTCTCGTTTAACTTAAATAAAAAAAAAGAAGTTATTTATCGTTAGATTTCTATGTTCCTATAACGCACCTCAGACGCGTCCTTATGCGGGTCGCTGAATCCTGCTATAGCCAACTGCCCATTTTTGGTGTACCGTAATCTACGGAATGCATAAAATCTGCAGAAAATATTTTGTGGAAGGTTTTTCGAGCGCTGGTGCGGTGTCCATCTGCACTCACGACATTTAGCCAATTTCGGGGCGACTTCGAAACAAGCACCGTCTTGCAACCAGCTGTCACCAGTTTTCTTTAGTTGTGATATTGGCGGTCTACGAAAGGGATCGCCCCTTCCACCGCTTCCACCTGGCCCGCTGTTACCACCGCTCGTACTGTCGTCTCTACGTTCTTTCTTTTGCCGCGGTTGCTGGTCTTCGCCACCCACTTCATTACCTTTCGTAGTCTTTGGTCTTCTACCTCGTTTCCTGGGTTCCTTGTTGTTTCCTATCGAACAGAAGATACCATTCGTTTGAGTGGCATTGCCAAGCATTCGTTCGGTCGTTTACATAGATCTTATGTATATTCAGTGTTAAAAAGCTCGTTATATTATCTTTCATGGATATATCAATATCAATTATGTCATCATTTCAAAAATTACATTAGAGAAGTAATGCAAATGTATATTTAAAGAAACAGGGTAAGTGTACGAGACAGGATTACAATGCTTTCAAGAGCTTCGCGAATCTAAAGAGTCTCAGGATATTACTAAAGTTTTAAATACATCAAAATTTACAGTTGTATTTCCTTTTGAACGTTTACTCCGGAATTTCTAGGGTTCCCGCACAGCTCTATAGGGAGGAGTAAGCTTATCTACCATGGAACACAGATCACTTACCCTGCAAGTGAATAGTTAGTTCACCTGATGGGGAGTCCATTTACAAGAAGCTACGTTAACTAACCGTTTCCTGAGGAATTGTTGGAATTGACTGTGGTATGCCGCACCCTCGATGCAGGTTGAATAGAACCCAACTGTTCGCTGGTATCACTGGCAGAACCAGCTTCGCTCTCATTACTAGACTCGCTGCCTACACCAGCTACTGCCCCTTGCTTGTCATCCTTTCGTCTCCGCTGATCTTCCGCGGTTGTTTGCTGCCTCCGTGCGACGCCCTTCTTTCGTTTTACCTACCACAGGGCATAGATTATTAAGTAGTCAGGAAGTTCATGCTCTTGCCGAAACTACTGCCAAACACTACCAACTTATGTCTTCTGTTCTAGCTCCTCTATAAGTACACACAGTTTACAATGGCCTACCACTATAAGCAATTCCATTTAAACGAATTATGTACTGGCTATAAATCATGCATAAAAAAATTGAAACTTTTCTTAAAAATGTTTTTCGTAAACGTACAATTATTTATTGAAAAATCGTTAACGTTAATAATGCTTAGTGACAACAATTGAAACGAAATAATCGTTAAAACAATCAACAAAAGAGACTGTTTCTCGCCGAGGTCGAAAGAGGTTATGTTCTCTTAGAAAAGAATAATATTTTGAATTAAAAGTATCTAATATATTACCATACTTATCCACAGAATGTTATGCTCTTCGTGTGAATCATAACAATGTATAAGATACATAAATTTCTACTAAACACGTTAAATTTACGCGAAAGAACTTGTTCCGACACACGCAGGAATACCGCTTTTCTACGTGCGCTCGTGTTATCAAAATGGCGTCCCGGCTGAAGCGGGAAATTCGAATACGAAGTAGACTGAGCGCGTCACAGTACAGACCGATCTGTCTTTGTTCCGCTTTTTCCAGCACTGTACTACTCAAAAAAAAAAAAAAAAAAAAAAAAAAGAAAAAAAGCTCAATCTATAATCACGATCCTATTAACGAAGAAACAACTACATAATAGAAAACCAAACAATTAGATATACTCCAAAATTCCAGGCACGTATTCGATTCTATTCGTTCGAAAGTAATTCCGATTTGTCCAGGTAATCATATTTAAATATCGTTACTTGGAAATTATTTGCGATGAATCAGCGATTTCATTAAAGGAAACAAGAAAGAAAACGAGATCGGGAACAAATACTGTTACGACAAGACGACTAATTGCTTCGAATAGAATCTATTTGGAGTATAACTAGTAATTAACGAGGAATAATCTATTTGCACATGCAACAGCATTGCAAACACGTGCAACGGCGAAACCATAGTCTTTCTAAATGTAAACAGCCGACTTAGAAAAAAAAGAAAGAAAAAAATATAGACACACGCACGTACACACAGGATGTTTCATAACCGAGGACGACGATACTTTGTCGTGCGCGCGATTCATCGAGAGTGAATCTCGGTCTCTCGAACACGGGGCGTATAAAAATATTGTTTTCACGTGTCATGAAACACCCTATAAATACAATCCATATAGATACCTTGGGTGGCTTCCTTTTCGGCGGCGACTTCCTCTCCGGGTCGCTGCTGGACGAGTCCTCTTGCAAATTCTTCGTGTCTGTCGCGTGACCGTTAAGCGACTCTTTGTTGGTCGACTTGCGACTGCTCTTCGCGGTCACTTTGCTTTTGTTGATACTGTTCACCGCCATGCTGCCGATATTATGGATCGAGTTTACGGCACTCGGCAGACAGGTGGTGCTGGTGTTGCTGTTGTTCGACGATGCATCGCGTTCTTTGTTATTGATCGGTTGCGTGGGAGTTTGGGCGATGTTCAGGGGCAACGTGACGCAGGAACCGCTACCGATCACTCCGGTGGTGTCCTCGGTTCCGTCCTCGCCGGAATGCCTCTGCAGCCAGGCCTTTTTCAGCTTGTGCACCGGATAGCTGGTGCTGCTAGGAGGTCGGGGCGCTGGACTGTTCGATTTTTCGCTGTCCACCGTGCTCGCGGTGCTCGCTTTCGCTGGCGTGCCAGGTGCGCTGGGCGCTGGACTGGGCGCCGTCGATGGGGCTGGACTTGGTATGGGTGCTGGGCTGGGTGCCGCGCTCACCGTTGGATTCAACGAGCTGACGCTGCCCGTGCTCGCTGGTCTTACAGAACCATCGCCGCTGGCTGTTCTAGGCGCTGGACTGACCGCGGTTACGATACGCTCTTGGGTCTGACTGTTCGGTTGAGCGAGAAGTGCCGCGGTGTTGACCACGGTGGTGATCGATGTGGCGGCCGAGGCTATCAACGGGCTTGGTTCGCTGACACGCGATAGAATCGGCGGGCCAACGCATTGCAGGGACAACGGTTGCTGCGGTTCCTCGGTACGCCGTTTCTTGCAGACCTCGAGCGACACCGGTTGGTGGCCGATGGTCTCGGTCAACGACGGTGTCGGTGCTTTTCGCTTCGGCGAACCGGACCTCTCTACCCCGAGATCGAGCGGTTGCGTTTGAAAGGTGGTGTTCAGTTGCGGTTGCGCGTGCTGCACCGTCTGACCGGGTTGCTGATGGGGACTGGTGTGATGAGCGGGATGCGCGATCGGCCTGGACAAAGGGGCCGATGCGGCTGTCGGCGGTGAACCATGAAGCGGCGGCGGCGGTAGCTTCGCTGCGGGCATCGAGCCGGTGAAACCACGCGGATCGTAGACGGATCGGCTATGCGCGGGCGGCGGCAACGGCGGCGGTGGCGCCCCGTGATGATGAGGCACTTGCTGGTAAGGCGAGCTGCCGGGTTTCGAGGTGAGCGGTATCGGGGCGACGACAGCCGGTTCCGAGGCACGGCACACCGGTGTACCGGTCATGATACCGGAATTCGGTTTCCCGTAGATGTGTGGCGGCGCCGGGCTGCTCACTTTCGGCTTCGAGCCCGCCGTTGGCGCGGCGTAATGCGACGTCGGCGAGGCCGTGGGCGGATGCGGATGCGGATACGGATACGAGGACTTCGCCGTGGCGTAAGGTAACCCGGCCGGTTCCGGCCTCGTCAGATAACGCGGTTCTGGCGGCGACGGATGCGGTGGCTGATGTGGATGCTGGGCGTGCGGTGACTGTCGATTGTGCGAGTGCGGCGGTGGATGCCCATGGGGACTTGGTAATTGTTGAGCGGTCGTTGGACCGCTGCTGCTTCTATGATGGCCCTGCTGTATGCTCTTCGACGACTGCAGGCCACCGTCTAGATGGTGAAGATGGTGCGGACTTTGCGTGGGACTCCTGTACTCGTAAGGTTTGTGTTGCGGCGCCACCGACTGGACGTTCAGATAGGGCATGATCTTCGGGCTCGGGGAGTGTTGCTGCGACACCGGCGTCTTCGGCAGCTCCCGGCCCTCGTTCTTCACGATCACCGAGCTCTTGTGATCCGAGAGGAGCGACGGTGGATTCTGCAGCACCTCTCGACCGTGATGATCCCTGTCGAGGCCGCCCGCCAAACCTCCTTTGTTCTGCAACGATTTGTGCTGCTGCCCCACGTCGGTCTTCACCTTGATGTCGTGCATGTACGACGACTGGGGCTGGTACGTCGAGTAACTGAACAGACCGACGTTAGGTTCGACCTTCGGCAGGGAACTATGCGACGGGCCCACCACCGAGGGCGGTTTTTCGTGCATACTGGTGACTGGCAGCGACGACTTCGATGTCCTCGAGTGCGCCGGAGGTGGCGGGTAATCGACTTTACCAGGTACGCTCGATGGTCGTGACACCTGCGGGACAAAAGGAACGGTGAATCGTTAAGACGATTTTTCTTGTCGACGGATCAGTCGTCGCTCTAGCTCTTAATTATTCTATCTCCTCTAAAATTTATTAAAGTATGTTAAATATTACATTTTTATTGGGCAGCTATTGAGGCATATTTGGGGAAAAAGCACAGCATTTACTGATCTTTAGAGATTCTAGGCACACAGTAATTAACTCCATAATCTCTTCTCTTATACTTAATAGCATTCGAAGAAGTTTCGATATTTGTTTCTTCAAAAACAAAATGTGACCTCAAGTTCCTAATAAACGTCAATCGAATTACTAAAGTTCATTTTGACTAGCGAAAACTATGGAAGTACAGGGCACACAGTAATTGCCTCCTCTACCCTATGTGTGTATTCGTAGAACCGTTACGGATGGAATGACGTAATCCTCAATGGCCGATAACCACCGGCATTGCGGCAGTTCATCCGCAAGAACCTATCAGTTTTCATCGCGATTCTTTCGAGTTTCGCGCGCTATCGCGCTAGACAACTCCGTTTATGATGTTCATTCTGAAGCTCGAGAAAGAGAGAGACAAGCTCTCGTGTTCGCATACCTGTTGAGTCGGAGGTGCAGTCGCTGCATAATAAGCAGCCATCTGCTGTGCCGCAGCATGATCTCTTGCCTCGGCTTGCCTGTGTAGCCTCTCGGCCGCTGCCAGGTGTTCCCTCATCCCCAGGTTCTCGTTTTCCCTCTGCCTCTGCTCCCTCGCGTCACGTTCCCTCGCCTCCCGTTCCCGTTCCTCCCGTTCCCGTTGCTGTTGCTGCGCGACCGTGACAGGATGCGCGCCCGCCGCTCCTGGCCCGGGATGATGATGACCCACGTGCGCCGTCATCCCCGAATGCGGGGCCGCATGGGTTCTGCTTCCTGGCGGCGGCAACGGTATGAACGTGTTCCACGCCATCGACGTCGATTGCATCTTTCTCTGTGGAACATGAGACACCTACTTCAATAAATACTGCCAATCAGTTTCGCGGTTCGTTGCGGGACGACGCCAGTGTCATCGTCACGCCTGTTCGGTGTTCTCGTCACCGCCCATCTCAGGTCGTTCTCGAGCATAAACATATAACAGGATGTCCTAAAAGGATGGGTCAATCCGCAACGTGGATATTCCTCGAAGAAATACAAATCGAAATGTCCTTTACCGTTTTGCAATCCAAAGTTTCGTTTCCGAGATATTAGCGGTTAAACGAACTCCAATCAGCTGAGCGGTGGGCGGCACGCATGCGTAGACACGGTCGAGAAGCGTACGGACCCCCAGGACACTATCCCACCGCTCAGCTGATTGGAGTTCGTTCAACTGCCGATATCTCGGAAATGATGCTTCGGATTACGAAACGGTAAAGGACTTTTCGATTTGTAGTTGCATGAGGAATGTCCATATTGCGGATTGTCCCATCTTTTTTGGACACCCTGTACATGTTCTCGAGCCTCTGGACCAGTATTTCCCAATATGTACGCCCCACCAAGGGGTAATTGGAATATTTTAGAGGGCAATTAGAAAATCATTGACATCCCGTCAGTCCCGTCAACACAGTTTTACCTATGTGCCTTTTGTTGTTTCAAGCAGCTATTAATGCTAAACTTTTTCAGAACTTGTTTCACTATTATACTAGGGGGCTATTGATCCGTAGAGTTGGGGCATGATACAAAAGAGGTTGGGAAACACTGCTCTAGACTCTAGCTATTTTTGCGCTCGCTCTGTCATCGTCGGTAGCCACGGAAACGCGTTCTGGCGATACCGACACACGGAAAGGAGGAGAAAGTGTATACCCGTGGGGCCTAGGCTGGTGACACGACCGTTTCGCGAGCGGTTCGACGGGGCAAGATATGTGTTTATTTCAAGGCGGCCTATTTTTGACCCACACCGGGGAACAGCGCAAACACACCGTCTCGTTGCTGCCCGCTGTGAGACGAGAGATATTGCGAGTGTCGTCCTCGGTCTTGGCGATGCATGAACAACCGACATTATACATAATCTACATCGATTTATTGCGACACCTTCAAAAGGGAGTGAAATGGCCACGCGAACGATTCTGTGGTTTTCTGCCAGCGCGGTTAATTTTAAGCGTCTTATCGTTTCTCATTGATATGCAGAAATGTGTGTATACCGTAGGCAGACGGGAATCGTATTATACGTTGCGAACTTGCGAAACCGATAAGAAACCGTCTGTCTGCGTGACTGGGACTTTCCACGTGTAACCAGCGCGCAGCCGTTCTGATCCCAGCGAGCAGAGACGGAATGCAATCGTCAGATTTTTTCCTATATACATATATCGGAACCGCCTCCTGACTTCAGCGAATCCCAAAGTTCAGCGAATCTAAATGAAGAGTATATAAACAGGGTGTCCCATTTACATCGAGACTCACTCGAATATCACCGAAACTATTGACAATATTAACCAGTGACGATATTAAATGATATTAGGGGGCACACTTTCTGATGTAACTTTTTTCTATGTGGACACGTAGAGGTCATATGAAGGTCAACTTTGTTTTCTTTTTTAAAGGAATCGTATATTTTTTAACGCACCACTCGATGCTACTCGCTATTCTCTACATAAAAGTATTAACAGGGGAAGGCACGAAAGTGTCCCCCTCCGATTTTTATGAAACTTCGTATGTCTGTTAAGCAGTCAAAAATAAGGGATACGTATTTTTTTTTATCGGCTGAGACGCGACTTTAAGGGGTGAAACCACCCCTCGAAGTTTCGATCCTAAATTTTTTTGTTATAAACTAACTATATTTTGGACAATTTGTTAGCACCACATTATTCTACATAAAAAAACGCAAACCTCGTACATTAAAGGTTTTCATGTATCTCCTCTGGTTTTCGAGATAGTACTTTCGGGTCGAAACTTCGAGGGGTGGTTTCACCCCTTAAAGTCGCGTCTCAGAAAAAAAACGTATCCCTTATTTTTAACTTCTTAACAGACATACTCAGTTTCATCAAAATTGGAGGGGGACAGTTCCGTGCCTTTCCTTGTAAGTCACTTATGTCGAATTAGTGCACTAAAGAATACACGATTCTATAAAAAAAAAACAACGTTGACCTTCATATTACCTCCACGCGTCTACACAGAAAAAAGTTGCTAACATTAAAATGTGTGCCCCCTGATACCACTTAATTTTTCCTCCAAAACCTTTTTTTAATATCGTCCACAGTTTCCGAGACATTCGAGTGGATCAATTTAAATGGGACACCCTGTATAATAGATATATACATATACATACTTTCGTGGCTCTGAAATAGCACACCAGAGTCGGAATTCTGAATCATCATCGGCCAACAGTGAGCAGGATTCGAAAGACAAAACCGGCGTGACCAAGAGACTGGCTACGGAGAATTTGAATTCTCGAGTTATCAGAGATACGAGCCTCCCGACGGCTGATAACACGAACCACAAACACCGATCGTGACTCACGTTTGGGAGCTGCACCGACAAACATCGCGAAGTCTACGCCTCGTGACAATCCCCGATCACGATTGAACACACGCCACCGTTTTTTCCATATACAGGGTGTCTCGCGTCGACGAAGAGGGGAAAACACAGTCGACAAAAAAATCCCGCCAAAGCAGAAAGTGATTTACACTCGCGAGCAAACTCGACTTCTGCTAGGGGAAAAAGCAGTGCAGGAGAGCCTTCTATCACTTGGTCTCGGGAATTATTGAAATTTATGTGAAATTAACATTTATTTCGGTACTTAAAATGAATTTGCCAAGTGGTAGGAGGCCTTTATATTACGCCACTTTTTCCCCCTAGTGGAAACTGAATTTGCTCGTAAGTGTACACTGACGTGCAAACTCGGCTTCCGGTGGGGGAAAAGTGATGTAAGGGAAAGGTTCCTACCACTTGGTCTGGGAATTATTGAAATTTATGCGATATTAACATTCGGTTTAACATTCATTTCAGTATTTAAAATAAATTTATCAAGCGGTAGGAGGCCCTACTTTAGTTTAGTACGTGATTTCCTGGGGTAGTGGAATTTCGTTATACCCCTCCAAGGCCCAGCTTTGACTCAGCGTCTTTAGTTATCGCATGGTCCCGCAATTGGGACTACCGTGGGCGTTACTCGGGGAGCTATTACCCTAGGAGGCCCCAACCCCTACATTGCTCGGTTTCCGGTAGGGGAAAAAGTGAGGTAGTCGAAGAGCTTTCTACCACTTAATTTCGGGAGTTATTTTAATTAACACCAAATTAACATTTGATTGAACATTAATTTCAGTACTTGAAATAAATTTATTAAGTAGTAGGAGACTTTCTTCTACGGCATCTTTTCTTCTAGAGGAAGCCGAGTTTGCACATCGGGGTACAACCGCGTCCATAATGCTTTTCATTAGACTGTGTCAAGGTCGACCTGTCGAGTCACCAGATAAAATCCATCTCAGTCTACGATGAACAGAAGGAGGAGCAGAGCAACAGCAGCAGAAGGAGAATTAACGGTGCGTGCGCGGTGAGGGAGTAGCAGCCTGTCGTGAACAGACCGCGAATCTAATTATAGTCTCGTTCGAGAAGAAGGTTTACTATGCTAATCGAGCCGGCCGAGTAAATGTCAACCCACGTGTTCTGTTTACCCCGATGGTGCACTCTCTTTCATTCGACACGTCTGTTTGTATTCTACGCGTGTGTCCCATCAAACACACACACGCACTGTGTGTGTATATTGTCTTTCAATGATTCGTATCGTTGCTAGAGAAGCTACATACGTTCCTGGCAGCTCCTATAGTTGACGATGGGATCGATACCAATACTATTGATGATATTCGATCGATTCGACACACAAAGTGCTCAGTGGAAAGTATCGATATGTGTTAAAACTTTGGGTATTTGGTATTAAGTATTAATACCGATTCTCCTTGAATCGATACCAATCCAATACGGCACAGAATCGGAACCCTTTTGATACCTCATGGAAGTATCAATACGTGTTAAAACTTTGGGTATTTGGTATTAAGTATCAATACCGATTCTCCTTGAATCGATACCAATCCAATACGAGACAGAATTGGAACCCTTTTGATACCTCACGGAAGTATCGATACGTGTTAAAACTTCGAGTACTTGGTATTAAGTATCAATACCGATTCTCCTTGAATCGGAACCCTTTTGATACCTCATAGAAGTATCGATACGTATTAAAACTTTGAGTACTTGGTATTAAGTATACGATTCTCCTTGAATCGATACCAATCCAATACGACACAGAATCGGAACCCTTTTGATACCTCACGGAAGTATCGATACGTGTTAAAACTTTGAGTACTTGGTATTAAGTATCGATACCGATTCTCCTTGAATCGATACCAATCCAATACGACACAGAATCGGAACCCTTTTGATACCTCACGGAAGTATCGATACGTGTTAAAACTTTGGGTATTTGGTATTAAGTATCGATACCGATTCTCCTTGAATCGATACCAATCCAATACGAGACAGAATTGGAACCCTTTTGATACCTCACGGAAGTATCGATACGTGTTAAAACTTCGAGTACTTGGTATTAAGTATCAATACCGATTCTCCTTGAATCGGAACCCTTTTGATACCTCATAGAAGTATCGATACGTATTAAAACTTTGAGTACTTGGTATTAAGTATACGATTCTCCTTGAATCGATACCAATCCAATACGACACAGAATCGGAACCCTTTTGATACCTCACGGAAGTATCGATACGTGTTAAAACTTTGAGTACTTGGTATTAAGTATCGATACCGATTCTCCTTGAATCGATACCAAACCAATACGACACAGAATCGGAACCCGTTTGATACCTCACAGAAGTATCGATAGCTATTTGATATCTACACGAAAAATCGATATTTTCGGCAGCATGTTTGTTCGAGCGCCGAGTGTTGAGTGACATGGAGTTTGACTGAATGTGGGGACGACAAGAATCAATACTATCGCTGTGTTTGCGAGACACATACACCCAT